GGAAAAACAACAAATGCTGGCGAGGTGGTATGAGAAAAGAAACACTTGCACGTTGACGGTGAGGACGAAAGTAGGGTAGGCACTATGGAAATCAGTATGGAGATTATTCAGAAGACTGAAAATACAAAGTCCATTTGACCCCATTTTACCTGTTTTAGGTATCTTCCTGAACGTTAGTCATCATGCTACAGTGAGACATGCATATCCATGTTTACGGTGGCACAATTCATATTCCTATCAACTGATAAGTGGAGATAAAAGTGCCATGTATGCATAATGGAATGCTATTCAGCCATGAAAAGGATATTTGTACAAAAATGGTTACACTTTAAGACTACAATATTAAGTGAACAAATCCGACATGGAACATTAAATATCACATTTCTCCTATATGAGAAATCCAAAGTAGAAATAATTTAAAGACAAAATAAAAGAGAGAAGGTAGGACATGGTGAGAAAAACTTTATGGAACTGAGAAGGAGCTCCAGGGAAGAATGCGTAGGGAAGAGGGAGTAAAATGGTCAGTGCACAATAGGTACCTGTACTAATTCTCCAAGATGAATGCAATTATTCTGTATGGAAAACATATAATAAAAAAAGACTTTTAAAAAAGAGTCCAGATGCCTGAAATCTCGCAGTGTGATCGGTTAGCTCCTACGTCTGGGCTCCGACATCTGCTCCTGCACCTCCGGGGATAGTTTCTCCACCTCTGTTCCCTCTGCCCTCCTGCTCTCGGCTGACCACACAGATACCTTGCTCCCACTGCCCCCAAAGAGCACTTACCAAAGACCGTGCGTGCAGGGACAGACTCTCTGTTGAGCCAGAAAGACACTTGTGACAGAATGACAGTCATGATACATGGCAAATAGGTCTGAATCACAAAGTAACCAATTTTTCGCTTGAGATGAAAGTGGGTTGTCATGACGACATATTCTCCTGGTGAGAGAGAGGAAAATGTGTCAGGACATAGTCCTACAAGCATCGCTACAGCCAGTGGGCCTGTTTCAGCCCGCAAGACTCCCTAATCTTATCTTCACCATGAGACACTTTGGAACCTCCCGAGCTCATGTAACCAATTCTGACATAAGTATATTCACATTAATTTGACTTCTACTTAAATCATAAGAAATAACAGTCTCTTCTAGAACCCTTGCTATGTGACACATACTCATGTTGTCCTTTACTAAAATATTTAATTTTCATAACAGTCCCATGCAGTAGGTACTGCTGTTATCCTCATTTTATAAAATACAGGCAAGGAGGGATAAAGCAACCTGCACAAGGTCACCCAGTTAGTAAGGAGTGGGGCCCAAATTCACACTCAGAGAAGTCGGCTCCCTGGGATGTGCTTCTTACCACTATGCTCTGCTGTTCTAATGCAGTTATTTGGTTAAAATAAAATGTTCCCACAGCAGAATGCCGGCGGACCCACATTACCTTACTTCTCATAAAGGAATAAATACTGAGGTCTAAAGTGTGCCAAACAGCAGCAGCCTGGCACATTATGTACTAATTAGTGCCCTGTTGGATCCCAAAGTCAAGTCTCAGGGTTCTGAATGGTGGTATTTTGCAGTTGGCTCCTCCATTCTTCTGGAGTCACTCTTCACAGAAATTTCTAGAAACCAGTGCTCTTTTTGGCTTCATTCCACTCCACTGCCCCCAGTCACCTTTGCTGAGTCCTTTTAATTTCTAAATGCTGGATGACATCCAGACTCGAGGCTTAGCCTTCTCTGTCTACTCCTTTGAGCTTTATCTCTCACCTGTGTCTTTCACATGTAACACTATGACGACCCCCAGGAATATCTTGTGCCTGAACTTCCTACTTGTTTTGAGTTGAACTGTGTCTTGAATCACATGGCAAACTCTCAAACCACAGTACTTCAGAATGTGATCTATTAGAAAAGAGGATTTTTGCAGATGTAATTAGAGTAACACCTCAGTTTAGGAATACTTCTTTTCTCAAACGATTCAGTTTGCAAACAGAAGCATTGGCAAATCTTGCTTCTGTTAGTGAATTCCACATTCAGTGATGAACACAATCATGGCCAACTTCCCTAGAATCATGGAAAGAATCAAGTTTGTGAACCAAGACACCACTGTAAGTAACATGAGGCCATCTGGAGTGAAGCGGACCTTAATCAGGTATGACTGAGACTCTCACAAGGAGAGAAGCACAGGGGGCAAATATGGGGAATAGCAGCCACACACTTTGGGCTGATGGGTCCACAAGTCAAGCAACACCAGGAAGGGGCATGGGCAGGCTCTCCCTCAGAGGCTCTGGAAAGAAATGACCCTACCAGTACCTCAATTTCGGAACCACAAGTCTCTGGAGCTCTGATCACCGGACATCACTACTGTAGGATCTAGTAAGAATCTTTCTGTAACATGCCCAAATTTTTGGCTTTTCACTGCCCCTACCATCTATCATCCTCCAAACTGCTTCCACCAATAGATTGTCCCATCTCAAGAATAACAGTTCTCAAGTGCCCAAATCAAAGTCTTTGACTTCTTTGACATCACTTCCTGATTGTATGTGCACACATGTGCATGTTCATACACATGCATACACAAAAATGGAACCAGCAAACTCTTCCTGCTACTGGTTTTCACAATGCATCCATACTTTCGACCACTCTGACCAGTTTCACGTCAGTTTCTCTCGCCTAGAGCATGGTTGCAGCTTTCTTCCCGCTTCTCCTACTCTTGCCTGTGTCACCTCTTCAACATACCCTTAGTCCAGTAGCCCAAACAATCCAGTAAAAGAAAAATGATGAGAAAAGAGCCAAAGCTTTTGCTATTAAGGAAGGGAAGAGAGGTTGAAGGGAGGATAGGGGAATGAGACAAGAAAAGGAAACAAGTTATATTATGTACAGGCCAGTTCCCTATAATGAAAGTGATCACTATGTGCACCTAAAATGTACCAATAAACTTAGTCAATTCAAGGGACCTTAACTCTGACCCTATCCTTTATGTTGAAGCCCTTCCACTGCTTTACTGTTTCTCAGAGCCTAATAGCCAAATTCTCCCAAATAATCTTGAAGGACCAAGATATCTAACTGCTGGAATACTTATCAGATCTTGGTTTTCACTTCTCTTCCCTCCGCCCACATTTGGCTTGGGCAGGATTCCCAAATGAGGCAGTCGAATGAGGCAATTCCCGCTCCTACCCCACGCACTCCCCTGTACCTCAGCCTGCGAGGCACCATCTGGCCACCCAAGGCTTAGTGTCTAATCCATCTTCTGTGTGTGTTCACATTTTGTTTACATGATCGTGAGAAAGACTCATAAGCTATTGTATAATTTAGCAAAAGATCTCATATGTTTTCGTCAGTACAACTTTGTAGTTCTATTACGCTTTCTTTCTGCATTTCTTTCAGTCTCTTTGTCTTTTGGTCTCATTCACATTTACCCCTTTCTCTCCTCTCCTTCCCTCTCTTCTCAGTCCAAAAAAATTGAGCATTTACTTTTCCTGAGTGTCAGTCTTTCATTAGCTTGGGCAATTTCTCTCTTTCCTTATCTTAGTGTCATAATCCTGAATCCCTATTATTAATCCTATATTTGATTATGTAAATTATTTGCTATATAAAATATAATAGATTTTATTCTTTTTGTATTTTTATTTTTATTCTTTTGGTACAGGGTCTCACTACGCAGCTTGTACTCATAGTGATTCTCCTGTCTCAGACTTCCCAGTTCTGGGATTACAGGAGTGCACAACCATGCCCACTTTTGGAGCCAACACAGCATGCCTGGGGACCCAGATCAGCAAGGTATGCAGTACTGAGGATTGAACCTGGCACCTTGCACTTGCCAGGCAGATGCTTAGACCTCT